ACCCCCTCGGAGCAGGCCAGTGCGTGCCACCGCCATTACCTGCCCGCTCCAGGCGGATTCCCGCACGCACGGCCCCGGCGCGACGCACGATTGCTGCTGCCTGCGGCGATCACACACGTAAGTACCAGCCGTGCTGATAAACCGAGCTGATGTCACAGGCAGTGCCGTTCTTGCCCCTGGTACGCCAAGCAAATGACACGTCACCGTGCTCGACCCCCGCGGAATTAAAAGCCTGCTGCAGCCCTACGGTTGTACCTGGGTATGAAACATGATGGAAGAACGCGGGGAGAGATTCCCCAAAATAACATCAAATTCAGGCATCTCGGGCCCAAAAGCTGCGACTAGTGCTCCCCTTGCCCAAACGGCACCCAAGCAGCCCAGAGCCAACGCTTCCTGCATGCTTTTTCCGTATTTACGAAGCTCCTGTGGTGAGCCCAGGTCTGCTGAACTAGGCAGGGCCTTTCTTTTTGGTCGAGCCTGTATGTAGGCACAGTACAGTCTGCAAACCCCGCCGGTTTCTGACATCTGCCATTCTTCTTCCAGCAACATCCTCAGGGTGGCACCTTGTCGGCTGTGTCAGACCTCTGTGCCAGGCAGAGGAGACCAGCCAGTGCAGTGGGGAGCAGCTCTCTGCAGAGCTTGCTCTGACCGCTCCGGCCACTTCATACGAGAGCTTTGAAAGGGAGCACAAAGGCTGACGAACCACCTGGCCCGAGCTGTCATGTTGGTTGCCAGCTTAGCCACTTGAGCGGCTTTCTCTCTTTTCTCCCATAATTCTTCATGTGATCAGCGATATGTGCGTGGGAAAATAAGATATTTCAAATTAAAGTGCTGTCAAAGAACCCATCCCAAAAGAAACCAACTAAACTAGGGCACAGCTCTGTGAAGTTCTCTTGCTTTTTGGTTGAGAGACTGTAATGAAATCCCAGTGTCCTAGTTTCATCTACTAAAAAGGCTGTATCTCGGGCTCTACAAAGCTACCGTTCCATGAGCTGTCATCCCTCTGTAGTGCAGGTAGCACCTGCAGCACAGGCTGAAGACCGCAGACTGGCTTGTGTAGACAAGCTGAAGCCTGTGCAGTGGCTGATGCGGGCTTCTTTTTCTTTTTTGGCCCTAAAGATTGCACCATAGCACCCTGACAATTTGGACTGGTGGACAAAATTCTCTCGCTTGTGGTTTATGGTAAATGTTGGTCTTCAAACTTGCTAACAGGAGAGAGTAAGTCAAGATGAGTTTATTTTTGATAATAGATGACAATAAGCTGACCTGACGTGGTCTAGCAGTTCAGAGACTGAGGGGGGGAAAAAAGCATGCATGGAAAGAGTTTTGATGCTCTCTCTCTTTCACAAGGCAGATCTATCCCCCAGCTTTGCAAGTGGCAAACTGCAGAGAAAATAACAGCAATATCTGCTTTGAGGAATATTTTTTTAAAGCTTTTCTTTCAGCTAAAATGTGCAGTTTTGCAATATTTTGCATAGTGTATAATATGCCAGACTCTTTCTCCATTTAACGACAATTAACTTGTATTTGTGTGCCTTCTAGACGGTTCTGTAAGTTGCCGCTGCCACAGCAGAGGTACTGCCATTAGCCAGGTTATGTGTTTTTAAGAAAATACTGTCATTTATGCTCATTACCCCTGCACCACCACGCCACTTTACATCTGCTGTCAGGAAGTACCAATTTTTCGGCTGTGATTAATTCCACTTCTCTTCCTTGCAGGCATCTAAACCTGTGCAATTTCACCGACCCCTGCGATTACAGGAAGACAGTTACTGCACGTGGCTGAGCTTGCCAAGGTAGAGCTGGCCTGAGTGGAGCGTTACCAGCGCTTGCACGTGACGATTCAGACATAACGTCTGGCCTTCTGTAAATGACAGCAGAGGTTTCCATCTGCAACTGAAGAGATGCTCACATACGAGCCGTCAGAAAAACGAGCTTTATGTTGATAGCTGGTAATAGTTTCAAATACGTCGTAGGCTAATTTGAAAACCGAACCTGATAATTCCTCAGCACAACTGCTTGTTGCTAAGGCAATGGAAGATTGGGTCGCAGCGGTTACCAGTTAGGTATTTTCTTCCTCCAGTAACATTCCTGCCACTAAAAATGCATTGTTCAGCTCTGACGTCTCAGCCTACAGCCCTTTAAAGTTTGAGTTATCACTAATGGTCAGGTAACATTAATTGTTAGGCCCAAGTGGACTGCGAAACTACGTGTTTTAAATGCCACTGTCAGAGATCAATCACATTGGGCAAAAGATGCTTCATCACTAGTAAGAAAGCTGATCTAATGGATGTTTGCCCGATTTTCTAAATCCGCTGGTGTTTTACAATTTAACTGCAGTCTAAGGGACAAGCTATATTCAGTTAGATGCTGCCCGTATTTTGACAACAGTCTTCCACCCCAAATTCTTCCTTAGTTTGGAGCAAACGTCACATTTCTGTTTATTATTTCAGGGAAGAGGATGGTTGAGAGGCTAAGGATCTATTCATCTTGTTTAACCAATGATTTTTCTCACCATTACAACTGAATAGTAAAGCAAATGTAAACTCTGTCAGTTCTTGGGGAGAAAAAGGTGCACTTCAGACTTGTCTTAGTAGTATAGAATAATACTCGGTTTTGGTAACTTGAAGTAAGTGGTGGCACTGAAAAATTTGTATAGCAGCAGCACCCCTAAGAAACACACACCACAGGTGATTTGGTGCTACAGTTATTCTGAAGATACGAAATTACTCTCTGGTGCTATTTGCAGTGACTTCTCAGTTGCACTAGAGATTAATCATTTGTACTAGGTTTGGATAAGCAGATTCTGAAGAGAAAAAAAAAAAAATCCACACTAGGAGGGAAATGAAATGAGGCTTCCTCCTGTTTGGTGTGGAGTTTTAATGACGTATGCCAAAAGTCTCTTTGAGTTTTCAGGGGAATTCTGAAATTCATAGAGGGTAACTATAGGCATGTAATTACCCCATTTCTGCATATGTAGTGGAATTCATTTCACTGACGTCTTTGACAACGGACCTGGGCTCCCCTCACAGTCAACGGAGACGTTTTTAGGGCAAGACCTATTTATACTAAGATTCTCTCTCATTCGACATACTTGGCTGAATGACTCCCACCTTTATTTCCCAAGGTGGAAAGGAAAATTAACATATGGGAGAGGATTATGAATGTCTTAAACCTTCAACTACTGAAACTTCCTGCAGGTGCGCTGCCTGCCCTCATTTCACAATCTCAATTACAAAGGTGCGATTGTGTATGTTCGTTCCTCATAAGAGGAAGAAATGAGAACGTGTTTCTCACATGACGTATGCCGAGTACCAGAGTCACAGACGCGCAGGATGCATCTTAACGTGTAGCTCAGGTAAGAGCACATAAAAAAATCCTTTGTTTATTGTGGGCAAAAGGGGCTCAGTTCTTTTCCATTAAAGTCAGTTGGATTCTTCCATTTACCTGAATGGAAGAGGATCAAGCTTCAGGGCTTAAGTAAAACAATAAGACGGTTGCCACATATTTGCATATGATTCACTTGTTCCCATTCCTCACCTGGCTTCCCTAAACATCACCTGCACACTTCCCGAGTTCTTTGGCATGGTGATTGGCTCTGGAGCCAGAAAGCAAATTCACCCATCGTTTATGCTTTAAAACTGTAGGTGAGGAGGAAGAGTCACTTTCTGAAAGCTGTTTCCTGGGGAGGAAAACAGGGACGTTGTTACTTCCGCCTGGTTAGCAGCGTCCCCCCTCCTCTAAGGAGCGGCAGTTCTGATACCAGCCAGCATGCTCTATCGCGCCTGTGAGAAGTTGGTATGGTCCAGCTCCTGCTGACTTCCGGAGGGCATTCTGAACAGAGCAGATACTCTCAAAAAGGAACAGTGTGGTTCTGCTCAAAATAAAGCCACAATATGTCAGCACGCTCTCGTGGAAGCAATGATGTCTTATAAAAGTGAATTTCTTAACATCTCCCGCCTTGGGCCCATCAACTTCTCAAAACACTTTTGGGTACAGACATGAGATTAGAGCATGGAAGCTGAATGGGAAGAACTGTAAAAACAGATAAATAGTTATTGCAAAACAAAGCACAAAGTAAACTTGGTTTGCACGCTTTACTCCATTTTTCATTCTGCTTGTGGTGAGATAAACATCCCATCAGTTCGAAGAAAAAAGATGAGCTGGGTATTTCAGCTGCCTTCTTCCCCATGTTAATACAAGTCAACTGATCACTAATTTGGGCTCAGCAAGAAATTTCCTTCTAGAGCATATCGGCAGAAAACTTGGAACTTCTCCAGTTTTTGAACAGATGTTTGCATTTGGATGAGGAAGAACATACATCTCCTGGATCAGTGCGGGATGTTTGTTACTTGGTGCTAGAGAACGCTTTGATACAGCTAAGGGTGAGACTAGCTGGGACAAAAACACATGCCAGTGTTTTCAGGAAATGTACTAGTTTATCGCCTTATTGAAATGATCTGGTGTTAGCCCATGTCTTATTTCTAGGTGTCCTACACTTGCATAAATGAAAGAGAAAAATAATAATGGTTGTTTCCATATGATTTGTGTTCCACCAGGTAAATCAAGTCTAATATTTAAGTAAAAACACAAGCAACGACGTTTGCAATTACAGGGAAGTATCTTTTCTGGATGACCTGATGTTAGCAAAGTTTTCGGTAATAGCTTACCCGGACAAACATGCTACTACCTCTGTAGCTCTGGCAAGGATAGCCTCTTCCTGGAGTATTGTCTATACAAAGGTCAGGTATGGCCTTTCTGTATGACCTTTCTATGGCCTATAGCTTTCTTCAACTGACTTTTTAAAAAGCCCATCTGGCTTGTACTCATTCTTTCTTTTTTCTTTTTTTGGTATCTTGGAGAATTCTTCATCCTCTTCATCCCACAGAAACCAGGGAAGCATACCTGCCAAGAAATACATACCCTCAAAAATTTGTTTGTTCCATTTGGTTAAAAGCAGCACCCTGTTATCATCCTTTGAGCATTTCTCCTAAACGCTAAGTAGGTCTTTCAAAATTACAGCCCCTTATGGACTTGTCCTCGTCAATAATGCTGCTTTTCATTATTTTTTTCCACAGGCTGAAGCTCTTCCTGGGCTATTGTCGTGGTTTACCGCCAGCCGGCAACTCAGCACCACATAGCCACTTGCTCACTCCCCCCTGGTGGGATGGGAGAGAGAATCAGAAGGGTAAAAGTGAGAAAATTTGTGGGTTGAGACAAAGACAGTTTAATAGGGAAAGCAAAAGCCATGCGTGCAAGCAAAGCAAAACGAGGAATTCATTCCCTACTTCCCGTGGGCAGGCAGGTGCTCAGCCATCTCCAGGGAAGCAGGGCTCCATCCCTTCTAACGGTTATTTGGGAAGACAAATGCCATCACTCCAAACGTCCTTGCCTTTCCTCCTTCCCCCAGCTTTATAAATGCTGAGCATGACGTCATATGGTGTGGGATATCCCTTTGGTGATTGGGGGTGAGCTGTCCCAGCTGTGTCCCCTCCCAGCTTCTTGTGCAACCCCAGCCTCCTCGCTGGTGGGGTGGGGTGAGAGGCAGAAAAGGCCTTGACTCTGTGTAAGCGCTGCCCAGCAGTAACGAAAACATCCCTGTACTGTCAACATTGTTTTCAGCACAACTGCAAAACGTAGCCTCATACTAGCTACTATAAAGAAAATTGACTCTATCCCAGCCCAAACCAGCACAGCTATGAATGGAAAGCTGAAAAAAAATCTAACCAACTTGTGTATTATTAGGTGAAACAGGACTGGAATCAGCTATGATTTGAGGATGTAAAATCAGGATTACAGAAGATAAGAGGCAAGACTGCAAATGGGAAAATAAGATCTGGATTAAATATCTGCAAATATTTTAGCATAGTAAAATCTACAATATAATGAAATAATCTTTCACAAGAAGGGCAATATTCTGATTGGGACTCTGAAAAACTATACTGGGAAATGATAAAGAAACAGAACTGTTGGGATCTATTCTCCATGATAAGAGGGGATAATTTAGAAACATAAATAAATAAATCTAAATAAATTGAATATATGACTTCTGTGTATTATTTACTCTTGGAAGACAACCATTGAGGCAGGTTTTATGCAATACACCCTAATAGCACGTCCCTGATACCACTGTGAATGTCAGTTGACAATTCTCCACTTAGTCGAGAGGGTTGGTGGAAATGTACGGTCATTCTGCCTGTCCCTCTCTACAAATAGCAGGGTTTTGCTCTACCATGCCTCTTCCTACCTCCAGACTATTCTCACAAACGGTCATCGAAAGACAAAGACTCAAGATGCAAACTTGAGTCCGGTACATCAAAATTCTCCCGTGCTCGCTCCTAGCCGTTCCGAGGCAGAGGATCAAACCAGAGAATTCAGCCTGCTATTCTTGCTTTCATCCCCCCTGAGCTTCAAACATGCAGCAAGCTAAAGCTCCTTTCTCCTAGGGAAATCTGGTCTAACGTTACTGCTGCATTCAACTACTCAAAATTTAAATATTTTAGTGTTTGAAAGCAGCAGACAATATTTAAATTCAGGAAACGTTAGCTGATTTCTGCTGTACCTTAGATACTGCTTCCCCCATAGTGACAAACAGCAAGTTTTTAGCACAGAAACCACCTATAACAAATGTTACGAATTATTCTAAAAATACTTTCTTGGCTATTTCTTTACCAACAGTGCATACGTAGTTTCTAGTTGGAAAAAAAGTGAAGCCAAAATGTTATAAAATTAACATTTAATGCTAATTAACATTTCATTTTAAATAACATGTTAATTTTTAATGAACATTTTTGCTTTATTTTTCAGGTCTGCAGGGGAAATCTCTATTTCTCTGATTGATTTCTTTGCGCGACAGCAGGATGATACATCCATTCAAGCTTACTATAAGCAGAAACACAACCCCTCAGAACAGCCAACATCTTTCTAAAGAATGTTGTATCACTTCTTTTAATCCAGGTCCTCTTGCACTGGTATACAGGTACTGCTTTTTGCCTATCTATCTAGCGTTATCTATTAATATTATATGGAAGAATTCAATTCATGAGGCTTTGGTTCCTCAGAAGTGACAGCAGCGAACACCATACAGTGAAGTTGCAGTGGTTTACTGCTGATGGAAGCAAAGGTGACGAGGTTATTTTCACTATTTGCGCAAAAGTGAGACAAGTGGCACAAAATTATCTGAGGCTTAGCTTCGTTAATCTGAGCTGCCACGATACACAAAAAAAGCAGCGGGTGGTTTTACTGGCGTTATGGATGAAGGTGTCCTCTTAAGAACATGAACAGGCTGAGTTGCAGACTTCCTGTTTTTTTGGCCAGAGTGACATCAGCATAAGAAAGAATGTTTTGGAAGTACTGCCTACAACTTTGTTTTCATTCATTTCTATGACCTTGCCAACGCATCGCTGGCTCGGGCAAAGCCATCCGTCTACAGCTACAATTGCTCAATGTCTTAGATGCAGATGTATGAAAATCACTGTCATGTAGGATACCAGCTTAGGAGCTGCACGAGTTGAAAGTTAAGAACGTGCACGCTTCAATATTTCCGTGAACGGGGGTCGTAAGAAAATAATATTTGCAGACTGCCATCATGTGAGATGCTGATCTGCGGGCTGGTCAGGTTAAGTCGCAGACTGCCATCATGTGAGATGCTGAGATGCTGATCTGCGGGCTGGTCAGGTTAAGTCAGCGAGGTTCAACAGGCTGATTTTGCCGTAAACCTAGCCATGGAGCTGCCTGGCACACATAATGCATTCACAGAATTGTAGAAAAAAGTGGGCTGGAAGGGATCCTGTGGAGGCCATCAAAGCAGAGCCAGCTTCACAGCCAGATCAGGTTGTACCAGGCCTCATCCAGTTAGACCCTGAAAATATCCAAGAATGGAGGCTACACAACCTCTCTGGGCAACCTGCGCTGCTCCTCAACCACTACTCTAGATCATGCCATCCTGAAATGCTATTTACAGGATAGTACGGGTATTCTTTTAGTGCTGGCCGCTTACCTATAGGTAAGAATGTGAGACAGAAGGTTTGGGGGGGGGGGCGGATTTTTTTTTTTTCATTTTACCCTTGAATTCAATCATCTCTGATGTTGTTTTTTTCCTAAGTTTGCCAGATGTCATATTTTTCACCATTTTTTTTTCAGATTCCTGAAATATAAATGCAACATACTCCAAAATGTGCAGGTCTCAAGACGTTTCAAGACTCCATGAGATTTATTTTTTTTCCTGATGCTTACCAATTATTATTCAAGTAGTAAAGGTCAGAAAAACATCTGAAAGAGAGGTGGGGGATGAAATCTCAACCCTTTAGTAATTCCATCTGCTTTATGTCATTCTCCCAGTAGGAAAAAGTATATGGCTAAAAAGTGTATTTCTGCCTTGGTTTCCTACTGCATTTGTTGTGGCCAGCGTTTGATACAAATTCTGCAACAGCCCTGGGGAAGACAGGATGCTCTGTCAGAACTGGGAGATTTGTTGACAGGCGAGCGCATTTTAAAAGGTTAAACTTCTTTGACGCCTTATTTAAAATTCTCCGAAATGGTCCCTCAGGATAAAATGTCACTCAGCTTCCCCAAGTAATAGTTTATCACAAATCATTTTGCTCCTCTTTAAAGCGAAATAAGGTAGCTTTTCTTATGGGCAAAGAAGAGTCTAAACTGCTGCTACTGCTTACGGTTGGAGGATATGAATTAATTAGGTGCCTCACACTATCAATTGCTACAGTGAGGAAAGCTTGAGTACGGAGCACACTCCCGCGTCCCAGACGGAAACTTGCCTGCCTTCCCTGCACGTAGCCTGCCACGACGCCATCGCTACAAACCTCACCTCCTGATGAAAAACTGCTCTTCAGAAGTAAGTCGTTGCAGATGTAGCTCACAGCAGCGTTTGGGAGAGAAACACGCAAGCCACCTGCAAACAATTTAATGCGCGTATACATTTTATTGTGACAAAACTCACTCGCGTTCGCCTCCTGTCAGGCACCGTGCCTGTGGACAGGGGCGTTTCGAGGGGTTTAGTGCCATCGCTGCTGACAGATTACTCCGTTGCGCCAAAATACTCCAAGAAAATGAGAGGACGGTTGCAAAGGGTAAGGTTTCGGCACCGACTGTAAAACTTCCCCGCTCTT